ATTCAGTATCTTAGATGATGAAGGATTTAGAGAGTTTGTGCATGAGCTATGTCCTTTATTCAAACTTCCTTCTCGGTGGACTCTAGCTAATGATTGTTTGAAGATTTACCTATAGCTAATGATTGTTTAAAGATTTACCTAGATGAGGCCACCATTTTGAAGAAACAGTTGAAAGGGCAAATGTTATCTCCCACCACCGATACATGGACATCAGTTCAAAACATCAATTATATGTGTCTCACCGGCCATTGGATTGATGATAATTGGGTACTACGGAAAAAAGTATTGAACTTTTGTTGCATTGAGAATCACAAGGGCTTGACAATTGGAATGTTAGTTTACTCTTGCTTGCAGAATTGGGGCATTGAGCACGTTTTTACCGTGACGGTGGATAATGCTTCATCAAATTATGGGGCAATCAAATTCTTAAAAACCATGCTTAGCGGACCTGATGCAGTCTTGGACTGTAGGTTTCTGCATCTTATATTTAAGATGTTGTGCCCATATCTTGAATCTTGTGGTGAGGGATGGATTAGAGGAACAACACGTCTCTGTTGTCAAAATCAGAAATGCGGTGAGATATGTCAGGTCTTCTCCTTCTAGAGAGGCAAAATTCAGAGAGTGTGTCGAGAGAGAAAAGATAGATTGTACAAAGAAAGTTTGTTTAGACGTCGAAACAAGGTGGAATTCTACATATCTGATGTTGGAAACTGCCGAGAAGTATGCCAATGCTTTTGACAGGCTTCGGTCACTAGATTACAACTTTAAGGAGTATTTTCAAGCTGATAATGATGAGGAGGAATCTAATACAAGGAAGCGAAAGAGGAAAAAAAATAGATTTTTGGGACCTCCAAGCGAGAATGATTGGGCGAAAGCACGACACTTTATTAAGTATCTGAAGATTTTCTAAGATGTGACTAGTCTTATTTCGGGGAACAAATATGTTACGTCGAACTTATTTGTGAAAGAACTAGTGGCGATGTATGCAAGCATTTCAAAAATGTGCTTGAGTTAAGATAAGGAAGATAGGGAAATGGCCGTCTCAATGAAAACAAAATATGATAAGTACTGGGATAACATTGATAACATGAATCTTTTGTTGTATATAGCTGTGGTGTTGCATCCTCGCAATAAAATGAGTTATCTTGACTTTTGCTTGGGGCAAACTTACGGAGGAGATACTCAGAAATCCAAAGATATAAGTAAAAATGTTCGTTCACTTTTGAATGAATTATTTGATCACTACAAAAAGAAATTTGACAAGGCGAATGGTAAAGGATCTTCTTCTTCTTCTAGTTGTGCTGCTTTTGATGATAAAAGTGGGGATATGAAATTTGATTTAGAATCAAGTTATTTGAAATTCTTGGAAGGTAAAGGAAATATCGAGAAATCAGAGGTTGAAGTGTACTTGTCTGATGGAATGGAAAAGAGAGATGAAAAGTTTGATATTTTGAATTGGTGGAAAATGAATTCTTTAAAGTTTCCGATCTTGTCTCAAATTGCTCGACATGTATTAGCAATGCCGATATCTACTGTGGCATCATAGTCGGCATTTAGTGTTGGCGGTAGGGTTATTGATCCATTTAGGAGTTCGCTCAGCCATAAGACGGCTGAAGCTCTTATTTGCGCTCAAGATTGGATACGGTCTTCGCCGACGGACATTGAGCTCTCTGATGCAAAACCAAGAAGCATGGATGTAGGAGATTTGCAAGAAAAATTAGAAAAACTTGAGATAGGTACAAGTTTTTAAATACTATTATTTTCTATACTGATGTATTTTTATTTTATTTACAAGTCTTCTATATTCTAATTTCATTTATTATACTTGAGATAGGTACAAGTCTTCTATATTCTAATTTCATTTACTATACTATTGTGCTTATTTTCTATACTGATGTATTTTTTTTTACTTATTTTGACTTTTAGAGGCATTTGCAAGTGAATCCAAGTTTTTTACCATGCCAGATTAATGTTTCTAAAATGGTAAACTTGTTTATATAAATGTGATTTCTTTGTTGATGTTACTAACTACTAATACAATTATATGTATTATGTAGGTTGGTACAATGTCTATGGAGTCGGGCATCGTGGGGGAGTTGGTGACTATGTCCCTCATTTTGCAGTATTTTTAGCTCTCGTAAACGAACTTTGGTAGATTTTTGCTATTGTTGGAAGAATATATTGTGGTATTGCTGTATTTTTTTGTGTTTTTCAGCTGATTTTTAAATAAATGTTGCTGATTTTTATCCGATTTTTGGTTCCTCATTTCGTCTACTGTTGGTTGGTAGATTTTTCGCTACTGTTGGAATAATTATTTGTGTGGTTTTGCTGTGGAATAAATGTTGCTGCTATTTTTTTTAATGAATGTTGTTGTTGGTCCTTTTTATTTTGGTTGAAGTGTTGAATTTAATTTTTGTATATTTTTAGCTGAATTTGAATGAACTTAAATTGATTTTTGGGCCTATTTTGGGCCTAAGTTTGGGTTGATTTTTTTTTTTTTTTCTGAATTTTGAGGTGCTTATTGATATTTTTGGGTTGATTTTTGGGCCAAAATTAGCCCAAAACCGAACCGAAAACCGAACCTAAATTGAAACCGAACCGATAGTTTAATGAACCGAAAAGGAACTGAAACCAACAAAAAACCGAACCGAAACTGGTCGGAACCGAACCGCAGGGAACCGATTGGTTTGGTTTTTGGTTCTTTACGAACCGAACAATTCGGTTCCGGTTCCGGTTTGTGGCTAAAACCGCACCGAACCGAACCGTTCTCACCCCTAGTTTTTATGAAAAAGTGGATGATTTTAAGGTTATATTCCACCACCATTCTTGAAGTCTAAAAAAAAACCGCGTAGTAAAAAATCAACATCTGTATTTTTTTTTGCCAAAATATCGATATCTAGATGTCGATTTTTTAACAAAAAAATCAACATATATATATGTCAAATTTTCTTCTTTTTTCTTTTTCTTTTTCTCTTTCTTCTTCTTCCTGCTCCTCCTCCCTCCTCCTCCTCCTCCTCCTCCTCCTCCTCCTCCTCCTCCTCCTCCTCCTCCTCCTCATCCTAATCCTCATCCTCATCATCATCTTCGGCAACGGTTAACGCTGTTCCTTCAGCGGATGGGCGGCGGCGGTTCTTCGCTCATGTTCTCCTTTTTCGGTCTACCCTTCTTGTTTTTTTTTTTATTTTTTTTTATTTTGTGGTACTACAATAAGGAAATTAGGGAAAATATACTGAAATAAAAATACATTGTGATAAGGGCTATATTAGTCATTTAAAGTTTTCCTCTAAGTAAGTTTGTTTAGTATATGGTCTTCCATCAAGTACAGTCTTGCCCTTATAACTAAGATTTAGGATTGCAAATATCCGTTGCCATTACATAAACAATCTATGAAACACCTGACAAACTAATAAAAAGGCCACCGCTTTCATTCCGAGTTATGTTGTCTTCAAAAAGTCCGCGGTTTTCAACAAAATTTAGGGGATAATTTTGCCTACATTATATTCATTTCTATTCAACCGACCACTGAATCAATAAGACTTGATTTTTTGGCTGAATCGGTCAGCACTAATTGGTTCCATTCAGAGTTATGTACCAAACAAACTGAATTGCTTCTATTTTCTTGATGGAATTAATTGCCTCTATACTCATCATTAAAAACTCAGACTAAACAAGACAGAACAGTAGGAGACGCGATCAACAAACTCTACATACTTATGTGAGAAGGAAACCCGAGCTTGAAAAGTTGCCATTCTCAGATCACCGTCTTGCGACAGACGTATAGGATCAGGCTCGGCGGTAAACATCAAATCCACCTTAGAGTTAGAGCCTTTGGATAAATGTCCAGTTTCACTCACCAGGACCAGCAAATTGTAAATTTTCATATGGGTTTTGTTGTAGACTTCAAGAGCTAAATCGGTACATTCATTGAGAATATTCTTTGTTTCATCATCACAACGGGTGCTGCAATCTGGGCCGTACAAGATTGGGACATCTTGAAACATACCTACGGGCTACTTCTTCTCCGAAACACTATCGACAGGTAGCAGGTGAGCAGGGTGGACAATCTTAATAGAAATTAGAAATTTATAACTGTCGTTAAGATTATGAGCAAAAACTACAAAATTTACGAGATTCTTATCATCATCATCAGGCTCAGGCTTAGCGATAAATTTTACAATCACCTTAAGTCCTAGTGCAGTTGCACTCAGCACTTCCACAACACTGTATCTCTTGAGATGTGTTTTGTTGTAGACATCAATAGCTAATGCGGTAGCATCGTCCGATTCTTTAATATCCAATGGACCACCTCTACATTTGCCTTTCATGGGGATCATCTTTGTTTTAACTTCATTCATCTTTGTTTTTCATTTCCCATGCGCCTATTCTTCTTCCTTCGGGGTCATAGTTTCGTCGACACAGTCTTCATGCCACAAGCCTAGATAGATTACCCACATTTTCGACACTTAAGTGTCGAAAATACATGGCGAGTTAAAAAAAAAAAAAATTTCAAAATCGATGTTTTAGCTCAAAAAATACATGAATACATACCTGAATGGGTTCTCCTTGCTCGTAAACTACCATTCTATTGTCATTTGACGCCATTTTGCAAGTTGTGTAAGGTTTTGATTTCTTTTGTTTTGGGGTTTTTTAGGAGGGTTTTTGGGGAGGGAGAAGAAGGAGGTGGAGGAGGTGAGGGGTTTGTGAGTGAGGAGGGAAATGTTTTTTTTAGGTTTTTGATTATTTGGTATTTAAGAAAGAAAAATAGTATTTGTAATATTTTTTGGTTTTAATTTTCATTAAGGGCATTAAAGTAATTTACAATTAATTATTTATTTTTTATTTTTTTGGTATTCAAGTGAGCAAAAATTAGTATTTGAAATAGTGATCCCCTATTATTATTATATACGGTTAATATGAAAAAAGTAAAAATAAATAAAAAGAGTAAATTCTTAAACTCGTGTAATGCCTAGGCAGTAATAAGAATTCTCACGTGCGGGGATCCTGAATTCCTGTTTTCTCCACAAAAGTATACGCAGTCATTCTTTCTCCTTCCCCTCATTCCTCTGGTATCTTCAGCCGGAAACCCTCACACACCAACACACATTAGCTTCATCGAATTCACCGATCGGCCATCACATCTTCACTATGTATAGAACGGCGTCGTCTCGGCTCCGCTCTCTCAAGGTTTGTATCCTGCTCGAACCCTAGCCCGCCCCTCCTTTTTCTCCGCACCGCACGCCGACTGTGTGTTCTCTCTGATTGATATTTGTGTCTTGTATTATGCGTGTATCTATCTTTGTATCTATTCATTAGATCTGATGGCTGTTCGGTGCTCAGTGATGACTCGCGTATTCCAATTTATTTGTGGTTTTTTGTATTTTATATATTGATGGGTTTTAAATATATTGATGAAAAATATCGCTGCTTGTGAAAAAAAATTAGATCTTTATTGTTTAATAGAGTGATGTATGTGTGATATGAATGATTCTTTTTAGCTGTAGTTTCATTCCTTTGTCAATTCGAATGTGTTATTTAAAATGATAAGTTATTATCCAAGTACTAGATTTTCAGCATGGGTAGCAATTAAGAAACGATAGATATATCATCGGACATTTGTCTTTGGGTACACATGGTTCTAAGCGTCGGGTAGCAGTTAAGAAATGACAAGTATCTCATGGCAACATTTTCGTGTGTGGTTTCGATTTTGTTAAAAAGAGAGATGCTAAATCTTCGGCTGCCCCTGGAAATTTGGATTTTTTGCTCTTTTAGATAGATATTGTTCCGTTTTTTTTTAAAGTGAAATTGTAACTAGGACCGTGAAATCAGTTCATGAGAGTGATATAGTAGTTCCATGCTTTATGAAATTCTGTGCTAATGGTTTTGTTACAATCTGTCTTAATCATCGTCTTCAGCAATTGTGTTGGACAAGGTACTTGGAAGAGAGTGTTTGCCTTAATATAATTTTTTATCCCCTGACAGGATCGAACAGGCTACAGAGGGTTGACTAGATATGCGAGTACAAGTGTTGTCACAAACAAATCACCAGCAGGTTTTTTCGGCTGGTTGACTGGTGAGAAGTCGTCTTCACTTCCACCACTAGACTTCCCGCTCGAGGGTGTTGAACTTCCAGCTTCGTTGCCAGACTATGTTGAGCCCGGAAAGACGAAGATAACCACTCTTCCGAATGGTGTCAGAATTGCATCCGAGACAGCAGCGGTAGGGAAATGATTTCTTACATTTTATTTTCTTGTAAACATAAACATACAAATAGAAATATTTTTATTGATATTTTCGGTGAACAATGTGGTGATTGATATATATATGCATGTTGATCAGGAGCCTGCAGCTTCAATAGGGCTACATGTTGAGTGTGGCTCAATCTACGAGTCACCATCTTCGTATGGGGTCACACATCTTTTGGAGCGTATGGCCTTCAAAAGTACAACTAACCGAAGCCACTTGCGTATTGTGAGAGAAGTTGAAGCAATCGGTGGGAATGTAAACGCGTCAGCGTCTCGCGAGCATATGACTTACACCTACGACGCACTAAAGACCTATGTTCCTCAAATGGTGGAGCTTCTTATTGACTGTGTTAGAAACCCGGCCTTTTTGGATTGGGAGATTAAGGAACAGGTACAACATATGGTCTTCTTCATCATGAAAGTTTCATGCTCATACTATCTTTTGCTATTTTTCGTGTTGCAATAAGGTTTCGTTTTGCCCTTTTTTAGCTCCAGAAGGTGAGCGCCGAGGTTACTGAAAGCTTGAAAAACCCTGAGCATCTGCTTTTAGAGGCCGTTCATTCAACTGGCTATTCTGGTCCATACGCAAATGGTCTTCTGGCTTCAGAATCTGCACTTAGCGGATTGAACAGCTCTGTTTTGGAGCAGTTTGTTGCTGTGAGTGTCTCATAAATCGTATATGTTTTTGTAGTTTTTTGTTGGTTATGTCTTTAACAAGTTTGGTGACATTTTACTATGGTTCAGGAAAACTACACGGCTCCTCGGATGGTCCTTGCAGCAACAGGTGTTGACCATGATAAACTGTTGGAATATGCGGAACCACTTCTATCTGATCTTCCGAAAGTTTCTCGACCTTTGGAGCCGAAGGCAGTTTATACAGGAGGGGATTTCCGCCGTCAAGGTGATTCAGGGGTGTGTATCTGTATCACATAAATTTTTTTATTTCTTTATTATGCCTATTTTGTGATGCCGATTTGCTAACTTCTTCGATAATGTTCTGTTCCCCAATTTGTGATCAGACAACTCACTTCGCTCTTGCCTTTGAACTTCCTGGTGGCTGGAATAAGGAAAAGGATGCTGTTGCATTGACTGTTCTTCAGGTGCGCTCGTCTTTTTTTTTTTTTATTCCTTTTCTTTTAGTTATTAGTTTATTATAAGTTTGTAACTTTTGAAGGAACAAGATTATATCGAACCTTTTTTGCTTAAATATTTACCCCCATCTGGTTTTCGGTTTTTTTTGTTTCTATATACACCATCTTGTATGAAGATGCTGATTGTATTATCTCTTAGATTCTCATGGGAGGAGGTGGATCTTTCTCAGCTGGAGGTCCTGGAAAGGGGATGTACTCGAGATTATGTAAGTTGTATTCGGGATATTGTTAAACTAAATGGGTAACCATACTCATTCATAGCATATTTCTTGACCTTAATTGTGTTTGAATACTTATTCGATTTGATTCACATTCTAAACATCCACAACATCGTACAATTGCTGAACAGATCTTCGTGTCCTGAACGAGAATCCCCAGATTCAGTCTTTTTCTGCTTTCAACAGCATCTACAATCATTCTGGATTATTTGGAATTCAAGCTACCACTGTAAGGACGTCTTTTAAATTTGAACATATTTTAAAGAGCCATGCATAACATTCTTTCGGTCGAATATATTGCAATATCTTTTTGGCTGGATATCGTTTTTTCTTTGTTTAATTGATATGTTTTAGCTGGATCATTATAGAAATTATTGTCTCGGAGTTCGCAATTGTTTCATTTCGAGCTGTTGATATTCTACCAACAAACTGATGCAGTTCCTAATGTTTAGCATCATAGTTTGATGTGCATTTATGAACCCAATGTTGAATGTAAGGGGTTGTACTGAGATGAGTGGGTGTTAGATACCATATAATCTTAGAAATCGGGGTTTTCTGCAAATTCTATAAGATTCCAAGGTGTGTTGTTAGCTGGACGAGCCTAGAGAATACTGGACTTGACCAAGAAACAAAAGAAAAAAACCTTCTGCTATGTGACAATATTGTTCCCCTTTAATGATCTTTGTACTAGAATATCCAAACGTATCCTAACTGGTCTTGAACATGATCCATCAATGTAGCAATGTTAGTTAATTTAACCCTACACGTTTTAGGTTTATATTCTCCTTTATGTTTATGTAAGATGATTCACGGCTTCGGTTAAGTTTAATTTTTGTCAGTTTGTTTCATTGTCAATGTATGAGAACGTTCGTTATGATGTGCTTCAGTGGGTTTCTTTGATCTCTGTGTTACTTGAAAGCAATTTTGTGACATCTCACTATGTCCAACTATATGATTTTTTGTTCTTTTTGGAAATATGAAATAATATTTTGGACATTGACGATTGTTCTAGTCATGTTTTGCCTTCAAAAGTGTATGCTCGATCAAGATACTATATATAGGTTCATCATGAAGGGTCAAACTGATGAATGCTGATTATCATTTGTATGTCTTGGTGTCGTTATCGGTATAACCCGTAAAAAAATAGGAAATCTAATTGCATTCTGCATTTAGGAATTGGTTTTCACCTGCTCACTTTAGAAATGGAACTGACGAAAATGCTTCTTTTCTAATCTAGGGATCCGATTTTGCAATTAAGGCTATTGATATTGCTGTTAAAGAATTAATCGCAGTTGCATCTCCTGGACAAGGTTTTGCCTCTTAACTTCACTAAGTTAATTTTTGTCTTTAATTAAGCTGCTTTCACAGTAAGAGCTATAAGAAAATTCTGCTAAATATGGATGTACTCATCATGCTTGCCTCCTTTGTCTTACAGTTGACCAGGTACAGCTCGATCGTGCAAAAAAGTCAACAAGGTCTGCCATTTTGATGAATTTGGAATCCAGAGTATGCACTTCCGCCACTATAACATATATTCTTGAATTATTGTTCCACAGCTTAAGAAAATTAATGATTTTTTTTTTTCTTCATATGAGTGCTGGTATATTCTATTCACTATTGTGTTATTATTGCAGATGGTTGTAGCAGACGACACTGGTAAACAGATTTTGACGTACGGAGAGAGGTGCGTCTACTACTTCTTATTCCTTACTTCAGACTTTGCATGTTATGGTTACTTGCATAAATTGCTAGGTGACTATGTTTGCTCTCTTTTCAAACCTCTCGAAATTGTGTTGCTTTATTAAAATAGGTTTCCTTCATATTGTTTCGTAGTTCTCATATCTTTGTATTTGTTGGCACGTAAAAAGTAAAACAAATTATGAGCACCACGAGAGAATGAATGCAAGGAAAAAAGAATCCAAGCAGTTGAGAATTAAAGATAAAAGACGCAGACGCAAGGAATGAATGGAAAGTGACAGAAACAAAAAAAGATTTAGGTAGTGAAAGGAGAGTAGCGATAGACTGCAAAGTATTTTTCCGAGTGCTATTGGGTTTATATTTTTAAAAAGGGTAAATTACGGCCACCCCCTTAGGTAAGGTTAAATTACGAAAACACCCCTCATGTTTGGATAATTACAACCACCCGTCACTCAACTATGAATCTTCTTACACGTCCACCCTTGCGGTGTCAAATTTAGTGAAAATCTTCTAGATTATGTTGCATGTTCTCCAACTTGTACCCGTTTTACCCCATTTGAGCTCTACATTTTGAAACAAGATGATCATAAGATGTGTCTTTTTGGCTTGTGCATCAGAAACTGTATTTTTGTACAAAACGAGTACAAACTGGAGAATATTCCATGGAATCTAGAAGATTATGTTGAATTTGACTTCATAAAGGTGGGACGTGTAAGAAGATTCATAGTTGAAGGGTGGTTGTAGTTACCCAAACATGAGGGATGTTTTCGTAATTTGACCTTACCCCAGGGGGTTAGACGTAAATTACCCTTTAAAACAAGAACCATCCACAAGAAGCAGAAAAGTTTATTAAGTGGAAAAGTTATGTGATCGACTTTGAAGGAATTATAATAGGTAGGCTAGTGTAGCAGTAAACATTTGAGGCTTTTCTTATTGACATTACCAACTTAATGGAATTATATTTGATTCTGAAGATCGAGAAAATCCATTTTTCAGTTACTTTGAGAGATATGAAGATATATATGACCTTAGATATATGTATTCAGCTCGGTCATAAAACCTGTTGAAAAAAGGAAACATTAAACCATTCTCTCCCTATCAGTTGACATACTCTCTTGATTTAATGACGGGAGGCTATTATATACCCTGGATTGGTGTACTTGTCCTTTGAATGTGGAAAATAATTTATTCGCCTGAGTTTATTTTGATTCAGCAGAGTTTTCAGTGTTATTATTGCCCTTGTTGAGGCAAATAATAAAATCACTAATTTGTTTTGCATATTTAGGAAACCCGTGGAGCATTTCTTGAAGGCCGTTGATGAAATTACGGCACAAGATATCGCTAAGACTGCGCAAAAGATTATATCTTCTCCCCTCACAATGGCATCTTATGGCGATGGTAACTAATTCTCTCTCTCTCTCTCTCTCTCTCTCTCTCTCTCTCTCTCTCTCTCTCTCTCTCTCTCTCTCTCTCTCTCTCTCTCTCTCCCTCCCCCTCCCTCTCCCCCTCCCTCTCTCTCTTTCTCTCTCTCCCTCCATATATATATATGTATCCTGTGTTTCTTACTTGCTTCTTGGTTTGCAGTTCTTCATCTGCCAAGCTATGATGCGATTAGCAGAAGGTTCCATTCAAAATGAAGATCTGATCATGAAAAACTTTCCCTGATGTCCTCTATTTTTTGAAATTTGTTGAGCTACTACATCTTTACGACACTTCGTTGAAAATAAGGATATGTTTTAGATGAATAATTGGCACGAAGCGCATAAATGCCTTGCTTCATTTTATGGTTTGTAATTTAACATTTTTGTGGTTTTCAGAGTTTTCATGATCTCTGTAATCTGTCACAATTGTATTTTCAACATTCTGGATGAAATTTGCATTGGGGGCAACTATTTTGAATACTAACTTTTGCTTAGTTGAATACCAAAAAAATAGAAATTAAATAATTAATTGGAAATTACTTTAATACCCTTAATGAAAATTAAAACCAAATAATATTACAAATACTATTTTTCTTTCTTAAAAACCAAATAATCAAAAACCTAAAAAAACATTTCCCTCCTCACTCCCAAACCCCTCACCTCCTGCACCTCCTTCTTCTCCCTACCCAAAAACCCTCCTAAAAAACCCCAAAACAAAAGAAATCAAAACCTTACACAACTTGCAAAATGGCCTCAAATGACAATAGAATGGTAGTTTACGAGCAAGGAGAACCCATTCAGGTATGTATTCATGTATTTTTTGAGCTAAAACATCGATTTTGAAAATTTTTTTTTTTTAAGCTCGCCATGTATTTTCGACACATACAGGTCGAAAATACACCTATTTTTCGACATGTATGTGTCGAAAATACCCTTAGATTTCGACACTTAAGTGTCGAAATTGTGCCTAATGCTCGACACTTAAGTGTCGAAAATTGCATCATAATTCGACAACTTAAGTGTCGAATTTGTTCCTGTTGCAAATTTACTTGTCTTATATTTTCGACTCTTTTGTGTAGATCGATTGCACCCATTCATTTACCACGTCCGAAAAATTCCCAACAAAAGAAGCTTTAATGGCATGGGTTCGTGAAGTATGTAAAAGAATTGGAATGGTGTTAATGATTGGGGGTTCGAGTGACGGGGATAGAGGACGTAGGACACCGTATGTGATTGTTCGTTGTGAGCGTGGGGGCCATTATGTTGGCAAGAAGGTACCAGGTGAAGATGATCAAAGACCGGGAAAAAGGAGCACCGGTTCAAAGAAATGCAATTGTCCGTTTAAATTGAAGGGGACAAGGGAACACAAGGATGATGAAAAGGCTGAGTGGAAATTGAAGCAAAAGGACCCGTCTAATGTAACTGGTATGAAGACAGTTTACAATACTATCTCTAAGTTAAATTTCAGTGAATTGGATGGGAGATCTCAATTGCAATCATTGTTTGTCAAGTTGAAAGAAGATGAATACCTCTCGTACCATAGATCGAACGAGTTGAATGCGATTACCGACTTGTTTTGGATCCACCCGAAATGCATTAAGTTGGCACAGTCGTATCCGTACGTATTCGTCATCGATTGCACGTACAAGACCAATCGTTACGGACTCCCATTTCTTGAGATTGTGGGTTTTACTTGTACCAACAAGACGTTCTCAATTGCCTTTGCTTACTTGGACCACGAAAAGACGGAAAATTTTGAATGGGCGTTGCGTTGTTTGAAGGAGGCCATGACCAGTTGTCCTCGGCCTAATTGCATTGTAACAGATCGAGATTTGGGTTTAATGAAAGCAGTGGCCAATGTGTATCCATCGAGTCATCACTTGCTGTGTCGGTGGCATGTGAACAAGAATATAGTGGCCAATTGTAAGAAATTGTTCCCAAAGGACATCACCAAATGGAAGCAATTTCAGTCGAGTTTTTCGGCTCTTATTGAAAGAAATACCATAGAGGAGTTCAATGAGGATTGGGAGGATTTGAAAAGAACATTTATTGGTTATCTCCCGGCTATAGAGTATGTAGCTAATTCATGGTTGGATCCGTACAAGGAGAGACTTGTATCGGTGTGGACAAATAAGTATACTCATTTTGGAACGTACACTTCTAATAGGGTGGAGGGGGCACACGGACGAATGAAAAGGGATGTGCGTAATTCAACTGGCACATTTGTGGATTTGTATACGAAAGTCCACAATCAAATTGTCGAACAACACAATGACATCAAGGCTTCCTTTGAAGTAAGTAAAAATACTTACGAGCACACTTTCAAAACGTTGATATACAATGAGCTTCGTGGAAGTATCTCAAAATACGCTCTACAACTACTCAAAGTTGAGGTGGACAATGCGAAACTATTGCAACCGAGCGATATGGGTTGTAGTTGCGCCATCCGAACAACCCACAGTCTACCATGTCGCCATGAACTTCATGAGTATGTTGTTGTGAACAAATGTCCTATCCCACTTGAGTTAATAGGCTCGTATTGGAAACACATGAGTATGGAGCCCGCCGCGACCACAGGCCAAGTCATCCTACCAACCATCGACGAAGAATTATCGGAATACCAGAAGCTCTTTGAATGTGCCGATCTCGATGCCAAAACTCGATTGCGCAACCATTTGAGACATTTTACCCACCCAGAGAAGACTAACCTTACGGAGCCAAGTGAAAAAGTTGTTAGCAAAGGTCGACCGGCAAAAAGTAGGAAAGACAAATCAAGCACTCGGGACAAATCACATTTTGAGTATGTGGAGCCAAAGAAAAAAAAATCGAAGCAAGCTAGTTGTTCTCCAAAGGTAAATGTCGCTACTATCGTCTCATTTCATTGAAATTGTATTTTATAATTGTGCTGAGTAATGAAATGTAATATACTGCAGCTTATACCTGTACTGATGAGATTACGAGGGCATTCGAATGATTCTTTCAACACTATACCAACTCAAGAGTCAGGAAAAAGCACTATACCGACACAAGAGTCGGTCAAACCATTATTTGAAGATGCAGATGTGGGATTGCCACCAGGTTTGATCGGCAAGAATAAGTACATTGACACGATCCATCCACGATTTCGTATGCACGTTCGAGAAATCATCAATGTCGGTTCAGATGGACACTGTGGATTTCGGGCAGTTGCCTCTATGATGGGATTTGGAGAAGATGAATGGGGTCGAGTGCGAGATGACATGCTACGGGAGTTGACTTCTAATTTTTCCACTTACACGACCATGCACCGTGGCGAAGAAACCGTTAGAAGCATGCAAGCTATTGTGAGTAACTGGGATGTTCCTGCAACTCGTGATCATTGGATGTCTTTGCCAAATATGGGTCATGTAATTGCTTCAACATACAATATTGTGCTTGTCTACTTATCCAAGTATCAGTGTCTCACGTTCCTTCCCCTATCGAGCGATCCAAAGCTTTTCAGCGAGAGGCAAGAGCACGGTATGGCATTCGTCGACAACTGTCACTTCGTGCATGTTGTATTGAACAAGAATTGTCCAATACCTCCTATCGCCGATTATTGGTACCGATGTCATGATCCTAAAGCTGATGGTTGGAAGCCTGCAGAAATGGATGGTCGGATTACAGCATTTCGAGAATTAATAGGTCAAAATGTTGCCACGCGAGAGAGTTTCGAGATTATTACTAAATTGCAAATTTATTTTTTTTTTGTGAAATTAACCCCGAATATATTGCAATGTAACATAAAAAACACATCTAAGTGTTTTTGGACAAAAAAAAAATAAAATTGCAATTTTTTCAAAAAACAAAAAAAAAAATTGCAAACAGCTCCAATTCGACAGCTAGCTGTCGAATTATTGTGTATAATTCGACAGCTAGCTGTCGAATTTGAGCTGTTTACATTTTTTTTTTTTTTTGAAAAATTTGCAATTTTATTTTTTTTTTGTGCAATTAACCCTAAACCCCTTGAAATGTGAAATAAAAAAAAAATTGAAATTGTTTTAGGCCAAGTATATTGCAATGTAAGATAAAAATAATTTGATACAAGACTAATCCCAAATATATTTCAAATTACCAAAAATAATTTCATTACAAACAACACATGCACGCGAACTTTTCAATGTGCCACCCCCCAAATAAGGAAAGTGCTCGTAAATCCATGACTGAAAGAGCGTCAGCCAGCCAGCCATCGAGTTCGTTGATTTTTGTGAGGCTGAGGAAAGCTCATCGTACAACCGGCAAAGACATGCAGTGCCCCAAGCATACTCGCCGATCCGATCCAAATCAGCTACAAGATTTAGGTACTCAACGCTTACCATGTTGCCTGTCTTGTCGCACAGTATAGTACACCCGAGCAAAAATAACAAATACGCCCGAATGGCGTACGTCCTCTTCTCTGCACTATCTCTCAGGGTCACTTTGCTAAATTTAGCCTTCAACCATTCCAACTTGACCGCTTTCTTCTTGTTTACATCGTCCGGGTACTCACCTAGCAACTGGAACATCAAAGTACTGGGAATGGTTTTGGAATCACGGACCAAACGCTCGCAAGATACGGTACGCCCAACAACTGGCAAACCGACCAACGAACTCACATCGTCAAGTGTGATGGTCATCTCTCCAACAGGTAAGTGAAATGTGTTGGTAGCTGGCTGCCATCTCTCTACGAAGGCTCTAAGTAGATGGCCGTCCACAGTGTTGTACGATGCCTGTACAACTGACATTAAACCACATCTTTGTACTACATCTTTAATAAACGGCGCCGGCTCCCAACCTTTCAAAGTTGTTGTGTGATTTCGTATTCGAAATTCTGAGCCGCGCTCCGAACGATCTGGCCCTCCGTTCACAATATGATAAGCAATGTGCTTATCAAATTTTGTGTACAATTCCGGTATCTCGGGACCTAGGACCGGTTCATTGCTCGAATCACCAACTTGTACAGTCGAATGTACAGCCGGCACCGGATTCGTTGACGAAGAACCCTCTCCAGACTTCTTCTTGGTCGTGGTCTTTTTCTTGGTCGTGACAGGTATGCCCTTGCCTTTATCGGATAATTCCTTCCTCTTTTTACGGTTCGAGACAGTCGGAGGTATACGAGGTTGACGTGGTTCTTCCACTGCAAAATAACACACAAATAAAAATTAATATACATAATATAAACACAAGCAAATAAAAATAGGAAAAAAAAAAAAAAAAAAAAAAAAAAAAAAAAAAAAAATTTTCCCAGTTTAAATTCGACAGAAACCTGTCGAAATATGGGGTAATTTTCGACAGTTTACTGTCGAAAATGGATTGAATTTTCGACAGGTTGCTGTCGAAAATGAAACCCATTTTCGACAGTAAACTGTCGAAAATAACAAAATCAAAAGCAACCCTTTCACCATTTTCGACATCTACATGT